CAGATGCCTCCAAGCTCAATACGGGGTGCACGAACCTTGCGGCTCAAGAAGCGTACTGCGTCGGCGGCGGAGGTACGACTTCCTACTGTTCCTGGTCGCATCAACTGACATCCGGCTCCCAGGCGACGCGTGCCCCAGCCTCTACACAGTCGTCTCTGGGACACTTGCCCCTCCGTGGAAGCCAACGAGGGACTCACCGCGGCGCAACTGCTGGCCCTCAACCCGTGGCTGGATTCGAACTGCGATCTCGAGATCGGCGAGGTGCTGTGTGTTGGCCCGGACTCGGCGCCGACGTCGACTGTCACCATTGGCACGAGCTCGGTGACACCGACGTCGACGGTCACGGCCACGGTGACTACCTCGACGGTGCTCCCGACGACGACCACGGCGACGGCGACGACGTCGACAGCGTCCCCGACGCCTACGAACATCGCGAGCGGCAGCTGGACCAAGTGAGTCTCGCCCTTGTCTCCGCGCGGTTCGATCACTGACTCTGCGGATAGCTGTACTACGTACTGTGAGTGCTCATCTCGGCTATTCATGGATAAACCATCTCAGAGCTCCCCCAGACACGGTGCAGACCGGCGATTCGTGCACCAGCATTGATACGAGGTCAGTGCCCAGCGAAACGGATGTGTATGATCCAGCAAGCTGACGTGTGATGTAGCTACGGCATCGCCTTCAGCGACTTCCTGCGCTGGAACCCTGAGATTTCGTCGACTTGCGATGGTATGTCTCTCCACCCCGTACGGTCCTTACTCACAACTCACCTTGCGGCATGTCTAAGATCTCGAGGCGCAGGTATGTATTGGTCAATTCACCTCGTATTCTCGCTTAACCGTCCCCATCTAGGAGGCGTACTGCGTCAAGGGCTCTCCCGCGTGCAACAAGATCTACACGGTTGCCAGCAGTGACTACTGCGCCGAGATCGAGTCCGACTACGGGCTCACCGCCGCGCAGCTGTATGCGCTGAACCCGTGGCTCGACTCCGCCTGTGGTACGTGTCCCACACATCGATCTGCAGACCCGATGTCCCTGACAAGGTGCCCTGCAGACTTGGAGGTCGGTGAGAATCTCTGCGTGGGGCAGGTCGAGTAGTGCACCGGGACAGCAGGTCGTCACGCGCATATTGCGATCGGATGCGTGGCGGACACTTGTTCTTAACATTGATTGAATGACTCGCGATACGCTATGTCGAGCAGACGTGGTATTGATATGAATGGAAATGCTTGTCCGCGTATAGAGTCTATTCAGCGCTTGAGAGCGGTGTCGAACCCACGTCCCTCTGCCACATGGCCGTATCGTCCGGGTACACAGTCGGGTGCTCCGCGCTCCCCACACACATGAAGACGGACGCAGTGGTGGCGTGTCGGGCGCGACTATCTGCACACGGAGGACGAGTGCCGTGCATCGAGGACCAGAGGCACCGGCCCGAACGGAGAGGGGGAGAGGCGATGAGTACATGCGCAGCGTGACCGACCATGCTCTCGGGGGTCGCCCCGGCTCGTCGTTCGACGACTCCATTTCGACGGCTGTTGCCGCTCATGCGGCTCTGCAACGTCTTCCAGCGTGAGTGGACGCAAGTGCGTGGCGAGCAGCCAGGGCGCAGTACTCTGGCAGAAATGAAGAGGATCTCACGTGCTGCCTGGTCTCCCCAAGCAGACGTGGACAGTGAGTCGTCTCCAGTTCGTCGCGTCGCGTCGCTAGTCCCAGCCACGCGCCGCGGCGGCGTCGTTCCGCCCGTGCTCCAAAGCGACTGGCAAGACGCAGTCCGAATCAAAGCCAGCGGGCCGCGTCAGATTATGAGTGAGCGAAAGAGACCGTACCAGACGTGAGCCGGCCAGCGCCGTTCGCAGGGAGCCAGTCAGTGTCCACTCGACCCGCTGCGCCGCCGTCCCACCTCGCGTGCCAGGGCGCGTCACTGCGTGCGCGGCTCCGCACGAGGCTCGGTGAAGCATTTGCTTGCGCCTTTGATGCCTGCCGTCCGTTCGTCCACGCCTCCTCCACCTCGTCATCGCCCATCCCTCCCCGTCCCCCTCAGCGAACGCACACTTGCCACACCGTGCGGCGAGCCTGCCATCCGCGTCTCCTCGACTCTCTGCCCCTCCGTCCCCCAAAGCCCGTCCTCTCAGATCGACATCCGTCCGACCCGGTCGCCTGGAGAAGAGAGGTCGCGGTCAGCGTGCGCTCCCGTGGTACTTAAGCAGGTCCCTCGCCTCTCGTCTGCACGCGGGACGCGAAGCCGTCTTCAACGATACTCGTCTGCTCGTCGTGGCGGGTGGTGGTCGGCACGCGCCGCTGCCAGTGGTGAGTACTCACGCGCATTCGTGCTGTGCTCCGTTGGCGGCAGGTGCTTCATCCGTCGAGCGCGCTGCTGGTGTTGGGCCCCGGCGAGTGGAACGCACGGGCTACGCTCTGCAGAGCAGACCGTCCGTCGCGAGTCGCGCTCCTCGCATCTTGTTCGCCCTCGAAACGCGTCTGACGTGCACGTCGCGGCGGTTGCGTTGCGTGCGGTATGCGTTAGCGACGCCAATTGCGGGCACCGAGGATGCGGCCGTGCGCGAAGGGCTGGCAGTGCTCTACACGTCGAGAGACGTTCTGGAGTGTGCGGGTTCGGATGACGCAGGCGACGCACGACACTTGTGAGCCCGTCCGCCGCAAGTCGTCTGCTGGCCGACGGTCGACTAGGGCGGTCACGAGCACGGACGCTCGTGGCTGGGCACGGTGCGGAAGACGGCGAGCGCGGGATGCCTCCACGACTGCAGTGCCGCGAGAGGTCGACGTGCGGCGGGGCGAGAGCCCGAGGCAGGCAACGGCGGGCGAGTAGCCCCATGACAGGCCGGACACAGCGCGCGGAGGTCAAGCTTCACGCACACTGACGCACGCGGTGAGTGCTTGCCTCCCTTGATGACATGCCAGCTATACCATTCTGACCAGTTTCGGCACCGCGGACGCACGAACCGTTCTGGACACGTCAGGCTGTAATTGACGTCTGCTGTGGCCAGTCGCGGTTCGCCCTGCACTACATAGGTCCGCTGCTCATCTTCGCTTCTATGTAGTCCCGGCTCACTCGTACGCTCACAGCAATCATCAGAGATGCAGGCGGCGAACCATCATGCGCTGAACGACGACATATGGTCCATCATCCTCGTCCTCGTCCACGTCGACGGCGCGCGCAGGCTCTCCCTCGCACCTCGACACATTCGTCCCGCTGCCCGGCGCGTCGTCCTCTCGCGTTTGGAACCGTCCCGACCGACGCAGGTATACTCCTACATGCTGGAAGAGCCTCACCTTTGCGCCTGTTGGCTGCGGGAGCTTCGCATACACAGCCACGCTCTGGATGGCCGGTACGACCGTCGACGGGGAAGATCGTTCTTTACCCGCACTGCTGGCAGGGCTCCTCGGTGACATCTCCACGTGCTAGCCCTGCCGCGCGTGCAGGAGCTGCTCGAGGCGGACTCAAGCACCGCCACCGCGCTCACCTCGTTAGAGCGGCTCTGCTGCGTGGATCTCCGCAGCCTGTCGTCGCGCGCGCCGGAGGTTGCCAGTGAGCCGTCCTCGGGAGGTGGTGCTTGGCTTCCCTCGCCCTCCTCGTTTCCTGAATATCTCATCTCGCCCAGCCGTCCTCCCCTGCTCGGCAACGCGCGTACAGTGCACCTGTGGGACCTTCGTTTGGTTCGAGGGTCCCTCGGACTTTCTCGGAGCCGGTCAATACCGTGCAGTACGCGAGGTCCACGTTGACGGCCGTGGCGCGCTCCCATCATGCGCCTCATGCGCACACTACGAACGTCACGAGTCGACGGGATACGCGAGTTCGGCTGGCGAGCCAGCGTCGGCGCCGCCGCTCGACGTCGCCGCTAACCTGGGCGACACGTCTTTTGTGCAAGCTGATCTCATACTCCAGAAATGGCTCGTCTCCGTGTCAGAGTTTCATCCAGCCTGTGATAGGCTAGACTCCGAGTTCGGGCTTACTGCCTTCGACCATCCCTGGAAACGGCCCGCACGAATGCGCTAGATGGGGTCCGACGAAGACTCCCCCCCACGTTCTTTCGTTGCAGTACATACCCACCACTGTGGGGACACGCGATCGCGACGCAGGTGGTTGTGTACTTGGTGGCGGATGTCCGGGCACGAGCGATGCGTCGAGAGTATATCGTCGAGACCGGCGAGCGGGCGGACAGGTGTCTTCGCTCCGTAGAGTTTGAGCAGACGTTGTCCCTGAACGAATTCGTGCTGTATTGGTGTTGAATGACAGATTTGGAGGCCATGTATGGTATCTGATCAGTACTCGTCGATCCCATACACATTATACGTATATACGTACGACATAGGTTACAGAGCTTCTCTTCAGTCCCCGTGGTAGACCCAGGGTAGAGTGAATGCCAGTCACATGTCCGCGACGCGCCCCCATTGCACCAAATCACGCCTGGCTGATACTGTGCCTCATCACCTAGCGTTCGAATTCACCAGTACTAGTGCTTGCTATTTACTATACCATCCGCTACGACATCATGTTTGGTCGTATCAGGACTGGTGATACTTATTGTGCGTGCGCTGGGTACGTGCTCTGAACAGGCGTGGGAAGGTTGCAATCGAAGAGCGAGTACGAGTCCTCCCACCGTGCGGGGAGCAGCCGGCTCGTCGCCGTCCGCATGAAAGGGGACTCTGCCAAGCTGGAATACGTTAGCACAGCAACACCGGCGCGTCCAGAAGAATAGCGACGCACCTCGAAGTCCCTACGCCTTCTACTGCCACGTCAGTCGCCCATCCGAGGCCGGCCTTTGCGTCTCCAGAGCTCGCGTGCACGGTGGCCGGGTGGGGGAGGTCGTGCGCGTCGGTGTTGCTTTCGAGGACAGCGCCGAAGGGGTACGAAGGGACGAACCGCTTCTCGTACCGCTGGCCGAGGGCGGACTGGAGCTGCCGGAGCCGTTTGCAGGGGAAGACGTTCGTGTCGTGCTCGCCGTCGTCGCGGGCCAATTCGAGCACTCGCTTCATGTATTCCTGGCTCACTAGAGCATATAAAGTCAGTCAATGATGCTTTGACGCGTGAGGGCGCGGTACGCGACGGATGATGGTGGTGGTGGACGAAGCTGCGCGTCTCACCTGTGAACGCGTCCGGGTCACGCCACAGACGCGTCTCTGCCTCAACCCTTTGCCGCCCGTCTACACAAATATATATTGTGGGATCATACACAATTATGCTGCCTTGAGACTACGTGGCAATACAACCTGTACTTAGGCTCCTCCCCATTTGATAGGTGCGAGGTCGATACCATTCAATTTGATGTGCAGTGCATAATCGCGTTGTGCGTCGGACGCCCGGCCGCCGGCGACCCGCAAGCTGAGCGTCGTCTTTAAGTTGTTGGTCCAAAAAATTATACGAATGACTTACATCACTCGTGTTTTGTGAGCGAGCACCCTGTTACCAGAAAACCGCTCCTACTTACAAGTTTGTCAGCGGCGATTGCTGCAGTCACACAGTCTGAAAAGCGAACTCGATTGAACCACACTCTGAACGACTACGTACGATCTACCATTAGTTCATTTCACATGGCGACGACGTGCACAATAGTCTGTCTCAAAACATCCATCCCATGGCTCGGCACACCGTCGTCTGGAGAGTAGCATGACCGTTAAATTGTTAAGGTCACGCTTACGCGACGCGCTCAGACATGAAGCAGCTCACATGCAGTCGCACCACCCCTTAGACTCCCTCCCGCACTCCTCCGTCTTCCGTTCAACCGCCTCCGCCAGCCTACGCACCTTCTGCACCCCCTCCGTCGCACCCTCCTTCGCCTGCTCCGCCGCGGCCTTCAGCTGCCCGCCCGCCTCCGCCGCGGCCTTCTCCAGTAATCCCGCCCTACGTACCACTGAGAACGAACCCGTCCAATGATAGCTTCCGCTCGAAGTCTGCAGAGCGCATGTATCCCTTCACCCGCCCGCCAGCCTCGTTCGATATACTCTCCACGCTTCGTTGGCCTGCATCCATATGCACGCGCCACCAAGTGAACTCCTTGAGTTCCTGTTCTGCAGAGGACGTGGGCTCCATGGTAATGCATATGAACTGGACCGAAGATACATGTTGCGCCACTCGTTGAGCGGCATCATGCATGGTCAAAGGTCGTTCGGATCGCAGAGTTGCTGACGCCCGGTCGACTCTGAAGTTGAGTCGCATACATAGGAGGCTGGAGTCGCGGTTGGACCGGCCGGTGGCCGGGAGAAACCATTCCTAACAGGGGAATCCTTGTGTGAGCGGGTGAGATGGTTCACTGTACTCGGACGCACCGTCCACAGCAATGGGCACTGGTTGTCACATGTACAATCAAACGTGACTTCGAAGTACCGCAGGCGCCCCTGGGGGCAAAGGACGGTTTGGAACAAACCAGCCCAGTTACTGAGGCTGCCTGGGCTTTGCATGTCGCGGAAAAAGGTGCATGATAGACAAATGGGTCTTGTAGATTGCAAGGTGCTGGCGAGTCGATCAAGGATATGATCAGATGAAGCATAGCAATACAGGTAGAGTCGACGAATCAGCGCCGTCGTGAAATGGACCAGCTCCTGAAATGAGACAGTAACGTCCAGAAGGGGCACAGATGCTGGCCACATCCATTTTTGCGGAGTGAACTTGAAGGCATGCATGCGCAGTGTATGCATGTTGGGGAAGACATGGAACACGGGCAATGCCTCGCGACTAGTCAGACGGACCTCACGCACAGCAGGCAGCTGTCCAAGCTGCCCAAGGGGAAACTGGGCAGATGAATCCCTATCCAAGTCTGGATGGCTATTCAGCTCCACGGTGTGCACGTCGCGGAATAAGTCGAAGTGGCTCAGAGCGACGAGGTTGCCAAGCACCGAGGATCGTAGGTCAAACGAGAGCACCACTGTTGTTGGTCGGCTCTTCATCTGGCTTACTACGTGGAGTGCATGAGATGGTATGTTTCTGAGTTGAATAACCTTCAGGCCCTCCAACGATACGAGAGCGTCGCCGATGCGTGGTTCCACTTCGAGCAAATCATGCGTGAGAGTAAGAGCTAGGACACGAAGGTTTCGTGCCGAACCAAGGAGACCTGCCAACTGTTCACACAGCGGCTTGGACAGGCTTTTGGGCCGCGCATCCACGCGCTCATTTCTCAGGGCTCTATAGTGTATGTGGAGTTCACGAAGCCAGGAGGCACGAGACCGAGGATCGCCTAGCATGAAGGCGCAGATCTTCGCGAAATGGCCTGGTCGAGACGTCTCAGCACGCGACAGGACGACGCATCTGGCGATGGGGTGGATATGTCGAGACGTGAGGGAAAGACTGCGAGCGTCGTCCAGATGGACGAGCGATAGGATGATGGACCATACGTCTTGGTTCAACCGCGGTGCCTGAGATTGCATTCTGATGCTACGCGCGATTAGTACAGAGGCGGGACAACAGAACGCAGGTACGACTGACGTGTGTGGCGACAACCCAGTGGTCGTCGTGAGTGGCTGTATAGGACCTTGTGTGCTGGATCGGCCGCGTGGTGGCAGTACTTACAAGTAAGGTAGCGGCGGTGGCTGAGCCACACCGATTCGGATCGACCGATCACGCTGCGAGCGAGAGCACAATAGACGTTTGTCGTCTCTTAAGGGTAGAGATCACTTGCGCAATGCGCATGCAGATTCAAGTTCAAGAAGACGTGTGAACACAGGCCGAGATTCGAGTGGTTCCGGTAGAATTGAGCTGCAACTAAGTTGACCAACGACGGCGGTACTTATGCTACGCTACACCGCTACCGCCGCCAACGGATCCGCACAAAAATGCACTACCTTCCCCATCCTTTCGCACACGCACACGCAGACACGTCAAACAACCAAGCTCTGGGACTCCCACTGGGAGGCTGTGCCGGAAATGATACCCCCTCCACATTCAGCACTCCTTCAAACCACTGAACGCCTCGCGAAGGTAAGCTGAGTGGACAATGCGATCTCAACGAACCCCATGAAACAGCGCCCAGTACCGGGAGCGAGGACAACTTCTCTTTTACACGACAGCCGCCGACCGCACGAGCCCAGCCCGTCGTCGTCTCGCATTAATCCGACACCGAAGTAACATATTCGACTCTTGCGAGGTCCGCCGCGACGAAGAGGAGGCCGAGGATCGCACATGATCGGTGGAGAACAGCTTGACAGGATACGACGCTGACCGCGGAAGCGGTTGCTCTTCACAGGGATTTCGATCCGGAAGCCCTCGACATGACCATGTATGCTCCATCACTTTATATGATATTGCGACGACGGCGCGTCGTCTGTCTCTGATATTATAAGATGCTCACCGACGAGACGAGACCGCGGTACGGGACACATGAGAGGGCAGTGAAGCACAGACCATCTAGGACTCAGCCAAGACGAACCCATCCAGGCTTAACGTCTCCTCAAACTCGGCCGAGCGCATGTAGCGATCGACCCGCGCCCCAGCCTCGTCCGAGATCCACTCCGCGCATCGCTCGCCTGTGTCTGCGGACGTGGTTATCCGCCACCAGGTGCACTCCCCGAGGACACGAATCCGGAGACTAGACTCGGTAGACGCGTCATGGGGCCTGTACCCGGCAACGGTGCAGATGTATCGAAGCGAAGGGACGAAATG